TGGTGCCAAGAGCACATATGGACACCCTTATGCTTGAACAAGGTGTTCGTTATTGACAATCCATGACGAGCACAGAAGTCCAACAACAGAACACCACTCGGGTACAGATCAGGGGGGCCGTTCCTCCCAACCACACCCCTCCAGGTCTCACTGTCATTGCCCACATGAGCATTGAAGTCCCACAGCAGAACAAGGGAGTCCCCAGGAGGTGCACTTTCCAGTACCCCCTCCAAGGACTCCAAAAAGGGTGGATAAGCTGAACTGCCATTTGGTGCATAAGCACAAACGACAGTCAGAACCCGTCCCCCCAGACGTAGGGGGAGGGAGGCCACCCTCTCATTCACAGGGGTGAACCCCAACACACAGGCACCAAGTTGGGGGGCAATAAGTATGCCCACTCCTGCAAGCCTCTCACCAGGGGCAACTCCAGAGTGGAAGAGTGTCCAGCCCCTCTAAAGGAAACTGGTTCCAGAGCCAGAGCCATGCTTACAGGTGAGTCCGACTATTTCTAGCCGGAACCTCTCAGCCTCACACACCAGCTCAGGCTCCTTCCCCACCAGTGAGGTGACATTCCACATCCCAATAGCCAGCTTCTGTAGCCGAGGATCAGACCGCCAGTGTCCCCGCCCTTGACCACCACCCATCCTACATTGTACCCGACCCCTCCCACAGGTGGTGAGCCCATGGGAATGGGGACCCACGTCTCCTCTTCGGGCTGTGCCCGGCCGATCACCATGGGTAAAAGCCAGGCCACCAGGCCGGTTAATGAAGGTAATGAAGGTAATGAAGTTAATGAAGGCAATGAAGGTAATGAAGTTAAGTCCTCCTCCGCCGTCTTCATGTGGAGGTCGGTCTCTGTGACACTGCCCTGGACTGGTTTAAATCTTTCCTCTCCAATAGGCTGGAATGTGTTAGTCTTGGCAATGCCAAGTCCCAGACTGTCTGTGTCTCCTGTGGTGTCCCTCAAGGGTCAGTTTTAGGGCCCCTGCTATTTTCCCTTTACATGTTGCCTTTAGGTCAAATTATTAATCAGTACAACATTTCTTTTCACTGTTATGCCGACGATACACAGCTTTACATCAGGACCGGAGCATCATCTTCACCACTGTCATCTCCATCTTCACTCGCTGCCCTCTCTACCTGCCTGGAGGAGATAAGGGCATGGATGAGTCAGAACTTTCTTCAGTTAAACTGCTCCAAAACAGAGGCCATACTGATTGGCACCCCTCACCAGGTTCAAACTTCAACTATAACGACTATTTCATTTTCTGGACAAGACATCCCCCTCTCCACCTCTGTTACAAATCTTGGAATAAAAATGGACTCTCATCTTACATTTGAAAATCACATTAAGCATCTGTTTAAAACCTGTTTCTTCCATCTTCGAAATATCTCCAAACTGCGCCCATCTCTCACTTTTGCTGATGCAGAGAAACTCATCCATGCTTTTGTCTCCTCCAGGCTCGACTACAGCAACTCCCTGTTTACTGGAATACCCGGCAAAAACCTTCAGAAGCTTCAATATATTCAAAACAGTGCAGCCAGGATTTTATTGAGAGCTCGTAAATTTGAACATATTACACCCATTCTCCATAACCTCCATTGGCTTCCTGTCACTTACAGAATACAGTACAAAATTGCTCTCATCACCATCAGTGTTTATACGGAAATTCACCAGATTATCTGAAGGACCTTCTTGCTCCATATTCATCCACCCGGTCCCTACGATCACAGAACAGTAATCTCCTCCACCTTCCACGAACTAAATTAAGAACCATGGGAGATCGGGCATTCTGTGTGGCTGCCCCCCGCCTCTGGAACTCCCTCCCTGAATATCTGAGAGCTCCACAATCAATGACTGACTTTAAAAAAGGCTTAAAGACTTTTCTTTTTAAGCAAGCCTATTCTGCCTCCACATGATTGTATCGTTGATTTTAGTTGATTGTATCATTGATTTTAGTTGATTTTATCACAGATTTTAGTTGATTTTATCACTGATTTTAGTTGATTTTATCATTGATTTTAGTTGCACTCTGTAGCACTTTGAGATTTTTGTTAATGAAAAGTGCGTTACAAATTAAATTCATTATTATTATTATTATTAATGAAGACTAGTTAATGAAGATAGTTGGGGGTTTGATTCCACCAGGAGTCACACGTTGAAGTGTCCCAAGTCATTGAACCCGAAGGAGTTCCCCCTGAACCACTAAAAAGTTGTGATCAGATGGAATATGTATTTGTGTGCTTCCTGTCACCAGGCAGACAGCAAAAGAAGCATTTTTAGTGTTTCATCAAGAAACAAAGAAACAAGTGGTACACTGATGTCCCTTGTCACTGAGGGATTTGAAGGTTTTGAATAGTGAGTATTTTTTGAGATTAGTGTTTTTCTGGACAGGAATAAGTAAAAATAAGTAAGTTGTAAGTAAAACCTTAATATCCTGATGCATGCTCAATAATCCAGGTAGAAAAATCTAAAAAAGTTAAATCTGGTCCTCTGGACATTCAAAAAAAACAAAACAAAGCAAATCAACAAAAAAATGTAGAAACGTTTCGTCTCTCATCCGAGAGACTTCTTCAGTCTGAGGTGCTGTATTCAGCTCAGTCTCTTAAATAGCACCTTCTCAGAGTGGATCAACCAGTTTGCTGCTGACAACCAAAACCAGCTGATCACATGCTCAAGAAGGACCATCAGCCTAACAATGGATCATTAGCACACTGATGGCTGTTTACT